TCTTTCTTTTTTTTTTTTTTTGACAGGCAGAGTGGACAGTGAGAGAGAGAGACAGAGGGAAAGGTCTTCCTTTTACCGTTGGTTCACCCTCCAGTGGCTGCTGTGGCCAGCGCGCTGCGGCTGGCGCACCGTGCTGATCCGAAGCCAGGAACCAGGTGCTTCCTCCTGGTCTCCGATGCTGGTGCAGGGCCATCCTCCACTGCACTCCCAGGTTACAGCAGAGAGCTGGCCTGGAAGAGGAGCAACTGGGACAGAATCTGGCGCCCCGACCAGGACTAGAACCCGGTGTGCCGGCAAAGCAAGGTGGAGGATTAGCCTAGTGAGCCATGGTGCCGGCCTTTTTTTTTCTTTTTACAGAATTCTTTGCCCTTTGTTCTGTTTGGATCTGAGCACCCTGTCATTTCTTTGTGGTCCTTGGTTTTATTCTTGCCCTGGCATCCCTGGAAATGATGGCATCGTTCTTAGTAAGGTTGGCTCTGAAGATCTCATAAGCCACGTTCTCTTTCTCCCCACCAACTGCACAGGAAACCCAGATTGTGACGGTGCCGGGATCTGACAGATCCTTTGCCCCAGCCAGCCTACTCAGTGGGATTATCCAGTGTTCCTTCTCCACACTTTTTTTTTTTTTTTTTGACAGGTAGAGTTATAGACAGAGAGACACAGAGAGAAAGGTCTTCCTTTCATTGGTTCACTCCCCAAATGGCTGTTACGGCCGGCGCTGCGTTGATCTGAAGCCAGGAGCCAGGTGCTTCTCCTGGTCTCCCATGCGGGTGCAGGGCCCAAGCACTTGGGCCATCCTCCACTGCCCTCCGGGGCCACAGCAGAGAGCTGGCCTGGAAGAGGAGCAATTGGGACAGAACTGGCGCCCATATGGATGCCGGCGCCGCAAGCGGAGGATTAACCAAGTGAGCCAGGGCTCCGGCCTCCCTTTCCAGCTTTTACCAGCAGAGCCGCATGCTCTTGCCCTGTATTTTACCTCACCCATGGAGGGTTCTTCTGGCCTTTTGCATCCTGGCTTACCATGCCTTGGTATCTACCAATTACTCCTCAGTACGTAGAGTCAGCTCCGCCTCTCCTAAATAACCGGTCATCCTGGACTCACGGGTTCCCTTTTGCCTGGCCGTTCTTCTCTGGGAGTGTATAGTGTGAAGTCCTGGACCTTTACCAGGATGGCTCAATGTCGGTGTGACACAGGCATGTTATAGTTCCTCTTTGAACATTTCCTTTTTTGCTTCTAAACACATGGACTGGATCAAATTATTTTTAAGGGCCCCTCCCTGCTGGGGAGACATGCTGTGAAAGGTTGCAGCCTTTCAAAAGCCTTGGAATGTACTTCTCAGTGGAAGATTACTTGAATCAGTTTGTGGTAGTCCATAATGATAACAATTCCAATGACCTTGATTTTCCGAGCACGTGGACTGATGGTTTTCTTCAACTTTTGTGGAATGCCACATTAAGATAGACTGAATGAGTTAACAGCTTTATTTGATACATTTTCCAGCCTTTTTGTATTGGTTGGTTCATCACTGGGGAGTAAGATCTTCCTTTAAAAGGCCATTCATTCTTTCACTCATGTATCCACCAATGGGTTATGTGAGACTCTGTCTCCAAACAATTTATATTGGAACTAACTTAATTTTAATCGAGTCACATCTTTTAGTCATGGGATCGATTTTTTGTTTGGATTTTTCAGTTTTGCTTTTAAAATAGTCCTGCACTTCTTTATGTTACTTTAGAAAATAGAGATTTGAAGAACAACAGCAATATTCTGTAGGATCCATTCATTTGGGGGAGATTCAGCAGGCTGGCTCTTGGCTCCAATGAAATTGATGTGATTCAGCTCATTGGGATCCATCTTAGGTTTTCACTTGAAACATTGGCCACACTGGAATATCAATCAGTACAATGCGAGGATGTTATGGTAATTATTGATATCAAGAGATATCAGCTGAATATGTGTGTGATTCTGACACTAAGGAAAACACGATGCTTATCTGTCAAGTAGGTTTTTCCTAGACTTCTTCATAAGCAGACAGAGGTACTCAGAAGAACATGTATGGAAAAAGTACAGTAAGGGCAAAGCATCATTATCACCATCGAAGGTGTTTTGTTCAAATTTGCCTGCAGAATGCTAGATAATCAATTACTCAGCTATTGGTATGACCTGTGATTCTAGTTGCAACACCTAATTCAGAAGACGAGCTTCCCCCCTTGCAGAAAAGAAAGCTAAGGAGCATGGTGACGTGTATGGTATTGTGGCATTTGAGAGCCAGAAGTGACTTCTGTTAGCTTGCAGCACGTTTTTTCTTTTGGTGGTGGTGGTGGTGGTGGGGTACAACTTTGACTTTAAAGGAAATGATCCAACTAAGTGCTAAAAAGGACATGCAGTACATCCTTTGAAAGATGTCAAGTGAAAATTACTCCTTGCCTAAGTTAAAAAGTAAGAATATAACCAGATGAACAGGATCTATTTGGAAAATGAAACAAAATTAACCCCCTACATGTTCATCCTGCCACCCCCAACCCTGTGCTTCTCTTGTCCCCCTCCAGGGCTAGGATTTCTGCACTCCAGCCAGGCATACACACAGCTCACTTGGCTGTCTCTTTGCCTTGAGGCCCTATCGCCATCTTTGCTCAATAGGGAAAATGTTCTTGCTTCACTTGACTCCACCACTCACCCTTTGGCGTGAAAACTCGCTGGGCTACTCCTTCACGCCACAGATTGTCGGCCGCTCTGTAGGACTCCCATACAGATTTCCATCTCATCTTGCCCCCTGGACTTTAAATTCTTGGAGAGACAGTACGAACCCCTCTCTATCTTCTCTTACCGTGTTTACTCCTCTCTGTCCCGCTTTTGGAGCTATTACTCGAGAATATTTTTGGCTAAAAAATAGTGTTCTGTTGAAACTCTAAATTTGCCTCCAAAGAAGTTTGGTTTCAGCAAAATATAGTCCCAGGCTATTCAATGTCTTCAAATGTCTGCCTGCGAAAAGTAAAAGACATGTTGGGGGTGATATTTGATCCCCCTCCCCATATACTCAAAATACAAAGGAGTCTAAATGTCGACCCAGTTTTAGGTTACATGCAGACAAGTTTTCCACTTCAGTGATTTCAGAAATTGGGTGGATTGTTCTTTGTCTCATAAAGAATTCATTTTTAAGATGCTGATGGCCTCAGCGCTGGCTCCTGGCCAGCTTCAGGAAGTGTGGTTCACAAGCCATCAAGGCCCGTGCATACTCTGCATTCCTTGGGTAATGCAATTCTGGACCCAAATCGATTCCAGAAGTCTGATCTCCTGAGCGGGGCCGACGCTCTGAGCCTGTTGAACAGCACCCCCCTACCTCCCCCTGCCCGCCACCTCAGTCAGCCTGGAAGGGTTAAGCAGCCCATCCAGGAGCTAAGCGAGCAGTTTGGGGAGACCAAAGTTGCAGGGATCTGAACAAGTTGATGAGCTTGGCAGCTTGTGTTTGAAGAATTTGTTTCATGTTTTGGATAAAGTCTGGGAATTTATCCTTCAAAATTCCTTAGATTTAGTAACATGTCAATGCACTGTGTTAATGCACAGAGTTTTCATTTTCTTTTTTCTTTTCTTTTCTTTCTTTTTCTTTTTTTTTTTTTTTTAAGGTTAAAAGCCGCCTTCCTTTTTAAGTATGAGTAATCCATCCAAATCCTGCCTAAGGGAACAAAAGGGATGCGGGTAATTTTCTCTTTCACAAAATGCAGAGACTTCCTCTCTGTCCTCTCCAAGTACCATTCTATGAACTGAAGGAAATTACACTCCTCACCATTGAAAAAGAGATTATGCAAAATGAGAAGGGAAAGCCAGTCGCCACAGTACAAATACAAATACCAGCTTAGTCCTTTGCATCGGAGAAGCCTGTGCCTTTTCTTTCCAGATGTGAGTACATATCCACATCTGCCTTAAAAATGCCATAATCTGGTATTTTTAAGAGCTCTCACAGAATGGCATTCACAGTAGGAACATCACCGGCTCCAGCCACAGATCCTACTAAACTGTCTTTCTAATAAACACGGAGCAATTCAACGGAATCACCTCCCTCTGGGCACCAGAATCCACAGGTTACTTTGTAAGGTAGCTCTTCTCATTGATAATTTGGGAGCAGGTGACTCCATTCTTCCTTCTTCCCCTACCTACGCAGGGTCATTTTAGAGTGATTTCTCTCTTCCATGCGACAGGTGCCAGAAGCCTTTGCTATTTCCAGCCCAGCCACAGGGGTAACTCATGAGCCTTTGTGTGCTCTGTGGGATGGCTCAAGGGCTCATACCAGGACCACCACAAGGCAGGGAAACCTGAAGGAACTCTTGGTGGAACCCTTTTAGAGGTGAGGCTAGTGGAAGGATGCTTGGAGGGCCAAAAGAACTGAGTTAAAAGACTTGTTTTTGTTGTTGCAGGTAAATTTATTTTCCAATTCTGATATTCCATGGTCAATATCGAGTCAATTTGTGTTTTTTTTTTTTGTAGTTGAGCCACTGTATGAAAGGCAACGATGGGTAGCATGTGGAGGCAGCCTGGAGACGGACATTGGTCTCCGATGATTTAAAAGGTTGCTGCATTTATGTGTGCAAGAATGTTATAATCATGATTAAGATTCTGCTCTGCAGCAGGCACTAGGCAAGGATTTGGGGGTACACATAAATCTGAATTATTCCCTGTCCTCAGATTGCTAATAGTATAATAGAAGGGTTACAGTGAGATATTCTGTGGCCTACACTGTACTATGACACAGCTTTCTATTGTTTGAGATAACATATAAGCTAAAGAGTATGGGTTTTAGAGTCTATATATGTTAGCATACAGGTTCAGCTCTGAGTGACCCATAAAAAGCCACACACACAAAAAAACCTGCAACAATGACTTAAACAAATTTATTTTTCTTCTACAAAGAAGTCTGTGGGAAGGTAGTTAAAGGTTGCTATGATAGCTTCAGACACCAACAGAAATAGGTAATCTATATCTTTCCTCGTCTTATGACTTCTAGTTCATGTTCCAAGATATCTACTTGTGCTCCAACCATCACATGCTCTGTTGGAAGGAAGAGATGGAGGAAGATACAACCAATAAGAACAATTTCCTGGGGCCAGCATTGTGGTATAGGAGGTAAACCTACTACCTGCAATGCCAGCATCCCATATCGGTGCCGGTTTGAGTCCTGGTTGCTCCACTTCTGATCCAGCTCCATGCTAATGACCTGGGAAAGCAGTGGAAGATGGCCCAAGTGCTAGGGTCTCTGCACCCATGTGGGAAACCTGGAAGAAGCTCCTGACTCCTGGCTTCAGCCTAGCCTGGCCATTGCAACCATTTGGGAAGTGAACCAGCAAATGAAAGATCTCTCTGTCTCTCCCTCTATCTCTGTAACTCTGACTTTCAGTTAAATAAAAATAAATCTCTTAAAAAATTTAGTGAGTTTAATTTAATAATAAAGAGCAAGAAGAAGTTCCAGCAGTGTTCTAACACCCTATTGGGCAGAAATCTGACCTGCAAAGGAAGCTGGGAATCCAGTCTGTGTTTGGAGTCACATTACTAAGGAATACCAGAACACCATCTCTTTCCCATCAGTGCAGAGTCTGAATTCTAGCTGTTAGCTCTGTGACTTCAGGACAAGGTGAGCCTGTTTTCTTAGCCCTAAAATGTGAAGGTACTGTCAATTTTATGTGGTTATTGTGAGGTTAAATACTATCACGACTATTTACTACCTAATTAACAAGTTGATTGTCATTACTTGTTTAGTGGCAGTTGCTGTTTTCACAAGGTATGGTTGACAGACAAAGAAGGAGCCTCATATCTAGAAAAGTCAGGAAAGGACTCAAGGATGTGATTGCTTACAGTTGAAATAGTCATAGGTACGATTCTACAATGATTTTTACTTAGTTAAAAACCATATCAGGGCTGGTGCTGCCTGCAGTAGCGGCATCCCACATGGACACCAGTATGAGTCCCGGCTGCTCTACTTCCGATCCAGCTCTCTGCTGTGGTCTGGGAAAGCAGTAGAAGATGGCCCAAGTCCTTGGGTCCCTGCACCCACATGGGAGACCAGGAGGAAGCTCCTAGCTCCTGGCTCCTAGCTTTGGATTGGCTCAGGTCCAGGCACCGTTGCCACCTGGGGAGTGAATCAGCAGATGGGAGACCTCTCTTTCTCTGTCTCTCTGCCTTTCCTTCTCTCTCTGTGTAACTTTGACTTTGAATGAAATAAATAAATCTTTTAAAAAACCATATCTTGTAGACTGTTCAGCCTTGTTATTAAGACTCCTACTTTCTACATGAAAGTGCATGGATTTGCTTCCCCTCTCCAGATCCTGATTCCTGTTCCTCACCAATGAACACCATAGGAGACAGCAGTGACAGCTTGAGCAATTGAAGTCCCACAACTATATGGGAGATCTGGACTGTGTTCCCAGCTCCTGGATCTGGCCCCAGCCCAGCCCCTACCATTTCAGGTATTTGGGGCATGAGCCAGTAGGTAGGCTCTCTCTCACTCTTGCTGTTTCTTAAATAAAAACACTTAAAAAAAAAACAACCATAGGGATATGCGTTTGGTGAAATGGTTAAGACTCTGCTTGGTATACCTGCACCCCATATTGTAGTGTGGGTTTCACTTCCAATTCCAGCTTCCTGGTGGTGTGCATTCTGTGAGGCAGCAGGTGGTGGTTCAAGTGGTTGAGCCCCTGCCGCCGTGTTGGGAGGCCCAAACTGACTTCATGCTCCTGGCTTCAGCCTGATCCAGACCTGGTTGTTGGAGGCATCTGGGGAGTAGAATGGAGATCTCCTTCTCTCTGCCTCTGTCTCTCTGCCTTTGAAATAAATAAAAATATTGCAAGCACTTCTCCAACTAGAACTGTAAGCATTGTAGAGTTTACTTTCTCACCTCTTCATTGAGGACCTAATCACCAGTTCGTGTCTGCCAGCCACTGAGCATCTACCCCGTCTATTGCATTCTTTTGATTTCTACACCTACCGCACTATGCCAGGACATTGTGCGTGGGCTGCTGAAACAGCCTCGTAACTGGTCTACCTCTAATTTGCTGTTATTTTATGTATTATTCTCTGCCCTGAAGAGTGATCTACTAAAATTGCAGACACACAGCTCCTCACTGATTGCTGAATGAAGGAAGAGTGCCTTGGCATGGAGTTCACACTACAGCTCCACATTTCTAGCTGCACCTCCCAACTCTTCTCCACAGCCCATTGTATGACCTTTTGTGCTTATGCATTTGTTCATGGTGTTCCTGAGCCATTTCTCTTCTGACCAGCTAAATCCTAGTCACACTTGAAGAATGAGCTAAGATACCACCTCCTCCTTGAAGACTTCCCCTTGTCTCCTTAGGTGGATTCAAATGTCTGTTACTTTATATTTTTACCATGCAGAGTTCGAATTCCACTGCATTAAACATAAATATACTGAGGGCTTTCTGTGTATTAGATATGAGACATAATCCTTGCTCCGAGGGAGCTCTTAACTTAGGGAGGGGAGACATAAGCAGATTGTGATCCCACATGCTGATGCTACACTGTGAGGATATAGATGAAGTAAGTGGGCGATATAGGAGGACTGGTTATCTGGAGACGAGTAGGGATGGAAGGAGATATACATAGGGAAATCTCCCCCGAGCAGTTGATGATGGTACTGGGTTTTGAGAAAGGTCTAGAAATTAACTACACAGAAAAGGGCAAGAGATAGAGGTGAAGCAAATCACCTAAAGCAGAAGAACAGCAGGAGAACATGGTGTTCAGGGAGTTAAGCCTACTGGTTCACTCCCCAGTTGGCCACAGAGGCTGGAACTGTGCCAATCCAAAGCCAGGAGCCGGGAGCCAGGAGTTTCCTCTGGGTATCCCATGCAGGTGCAGGGGTCCAGGCACTAGGACCATCTTCTGTTGTTTTCTCAGGCCATAGTGGGGAGCTGGATGGGAAGAGGAGCAGCTGAGACCCAAATTGGCGCCCATACAGGATGCTGACACTGCAGGCGGAGGCTTAGCCTACTATGCCAACCCCCTCCCCTTTTGTTTTGCTGACTCTGTGAAGAAAGTTTATCTTTAGGGGCCAGCATTGTGGCACAGCAGGTTAAGCTGCCACCTGCAGTGCCAGCATTCCATATGAGGGCTGCCTTAAGTCCTAGCTATGCTCATTGTAATTCAGCTCCCTGCTAATGTGCTTGGGAAAGCAGAAGAAATGGTCCAAGTACCTGAGACCCTGCCACCCATATGGGAGACCTGGATGGAGTTCCAGGCTCCTGGCTTCAACCTGGCTCAGCCCTTGGCCATTGTAGCCAGTTGGGGAGTGAACCAGCAGATGGAAGATCTCTCTTTCTTTGTCCCTCCCTCTCTTTCTGTAAGTCTGCCTTTCAAACAAATAAATAAATCTAAAAAAATGATAAGAAAGTTTATCTCTAGTTCATAAGACTGGATAAACCATGTGTTCTAAGACAAGCATGTAGTAGGCATAGATGCAGCATGTAAGTCCAGGTATATCTGCCTCAGGGCTAGCGAGATTGGGTGGGGGAATCAGTAGGATCCTGGGTCTGCAGCTCAGTAGGATCCTGGGTCTGCAGCTCAGGAGGAGCCAGATGCCAGCCAATGGGATGCGGTCCTTATCTTTAGGCAATAGGTGAGGAGGAGAGCGTAGAGGCCTTGAGGGGAGAGTGTGTGATTCCATTAGGTCTTTTAGAAAGATTGCTTTGTTACTCTTGGGAAGCATGAATCACATGAGGATGATTCCAGATTTTTATTTAGTACTCTTGTCATTCAACTTTAAATGAATTTCAGTGGTTTTTGCAACTACTCTTTGGTGGATGGGGTTATCTTTAGTTCTTTGTCAGCTCTCTCAAAGGGCATTCTAGTCAATGCATGAAGTCATTAACGAATGCAGTTTTTATTTAGAAAGTTTCTATGGGTGACAAGGAGACTAAATAGCACTTAACCTGATCCCATTTGCTGACCTTTAAAAATATCATCAGTGTAAATGACAAACGGACAGAAGTCTTAGGAAGTGTGAAAATGCAGCTGATATTCGAAGGAAAATCACTAAAATGAGAACAGCTCCAGTCTTTAGGGGACTTGAATTGGAATCTCAGCTCTGTCACTTCCTAACTGTGCATTTGCACAAATCCCTGCATGTCGCTGAGCTTCAGTTTTCCCATCTTTTAATGAGTGTAATCTTTGAGTAACTCAGAGGAGGCACACGGGGTGTTGTGGGTAGTAGTGATGTTTAATTAGTGATTTGGGCAATGATTGTATGGGTGGGTCTACTGTGAAAATTTGTTATTTACACAAATATGTGTACATATTTCTCTACGTGTTTTCTAGTTCAGGGGAAATAGGAAAGGAAAATAAAATGAGGGGAGTTGGAGTTAACCTCATTGGTTGCATTTTTTCCTTTTTTGGTTTGAGGTCTCCGTGATCATAATTACTGATCCTGGACAGAGAAGTAAGTGCAGGTATCAGAAAACCACAGATGTCGTGAAAGGTGAGCCCATGAACTCTCTGCAGTAGCTACACAAATACTTAAAGAGAAAGAACCCAGGTGGGCATTCCACCTGGTGCTATGCCATCGTTAGGTGACCCGCTTCTCCTATCTCTGTCCTTGGATTTGCTTCTACTTCCTGTTTCTAGCTGCTGGCTAATGCAGACCCTGGGCAGCCTCGGTGATGGCTCAAGCAATTGTGCTCCTGTGCTCCTGCTACCCCCAGGGGGACCTAGGTTGAGTTCCCTATGCCTGGCTTCAGCCTGGCCCAGCTCGTGCCCCTGTGCACATTTGGAGAATGAATCAATGCTAGGAGCCTCTCCCTCTTCCTTCCTCTCTCTCTTTCTCTCTCTCTCTCTCTCTCCCCCTCTTTCTGCCTCTCAAATAAATGAATTAATTTTTTAGGTATATTTATCTGAAAGAATTACAGAGAAAGAGAAGTAGAGGAAGAGGTAGAGGCTGAGAGAGAGAGAGAGAGAGAGAGAGATCTTCCATCCACTGGTTTACTCCCCAAATGGCCGCAAAGGCCAGGGCTGGGCCAGGCCCAAACCAGGAACCAGGAGCTTCTTCCAGGTCTCCCACATGGGTGCAGAGGCCCAAGAACTGGGCCATCTTCCACTGTTTTCACAAGCACACTAGCAGGGAGCTGGATTGGAAGTGGAGCAACAGGGACTGGAACCGGCGCCCACAAGGGATGCTGGCATTGCAAGTGGCAGCTTTACTCACTGTGCCACAGTACTGAATCACAAATAAAATTTTTTTAAAGAAATCGGAATAAGGAATCTGCTGGTTAAATATGGCAGAACAAACACGTGCACTTATCACCACTTCTGAGACCTCACTCAAAGTAGGGCAATCAAAGAATATAAAAGGCACAAACCCGTACCGTACGTGACAAAGCAGATGGCAAAATATAGAAGTCAATAACACTTTAACATTTATTATATTACTGCTTTCTTTTTGGAAATAGCTCAATGTTAATGAGAAGTTATAAAAATATTATAGCAATTTCCTGTATGCCCTTTATTTAGCTTGTCCTAATGATAATATTTTATGTAATATATTTGAAAACCAGGAAATTGACATTGGTAGAAAACTACTACTTAAATATGGGTCTTACTGGTTTTCTCCAGTTTTTATAAGCACTCTGTTTTTCTCATGGGGTATAGTTTTTTTTTTAATTTATTTTACTTGAAAAAGGGGGGAGGGAGAGAGAAGGAGGGAGAGAGAGAGAAAAAAAAAGAAAGAGGGAGGGAGAGAGAAAGAGAACAGATGGAGACCTTCCATCCACTGATTCACTTTCCAAATACCCACAACAGCTAGGCTGGACCAGGGTGAAGCCAGGAGCCTGGAACTCAGCCTGGATCTCCCACACGCATGGCAGAGGCCCAAGTACTTGACCCATTTTCTGCTGCCTCCCAGGGTGCACATTAACAGGAAGCAGGACCAGAAACAGAGAAGAGCGGGGACGTGAAGCAGACACTCCAGTATGGGAGGCAGGTGTCCCAGCAGCGACTTAACCACTGCCCCAGATGCTCACCCCTGCTATATGGTTTTATGAAATGTTATCATACATTAGAGTTGCTGAAAAACTGCCTGAATTGGGGAGCGGAAGTAGCCCATCACCAAAGAACTTGTCTCATCTCACACCCAAATTGTCACACTCAAACTTCAGGCCACATACCTGCTCTTTATCACTATAATTTTGTCCTTTTTGAGAATGGCATATAAATGAAATATTTCAGTATGCACAAATCTTTCACATTGGCCTTTTTTTAAAGCATGTGTGACAAGCACCCAGTCTGTCCATTTTTATTGCTAGTATTCCCTGATACGGACATACCTCCATTTCTATCCATTCACCTGTTGAGGTAAATCTGCACTGTTTCCATTTTGGGTTATAAACACATAGTAAAGCTACTATAAACATTAGTGCATAAACTTTGTGTGACCATAACTATTTCATTTCTCAAGGGTACATACCCTAGAGTATCACTGTTGACTCACAAGGTCTATATTTGTTTAGCTTTAAAAGAAGCAGTCACACATTTCTGATTTCTATACCAGCAATGCATGAGAAATGCAGTTACTCCATCAACACATGGCTATTATAGCCATGTTTAAAATCATTGGTAGTATCCAAATATTTTATTTTAGCCAATCTAAAAATGTATGTTGATATCCTTTTTGGAACTTGAATCTGAATTTTGCTAATGGCTAACGGCTAAGCATCCTTCCACATAAATATTTGCTAATCCTGCATTCTCTTTGGTGAAATGTCTGTTCAAGCCTATTGCACATTTTCTAGTTGAATTGTTTGATTTCTAATTGTTGCATTTGGTGTATTCTTTATGTATCCTGAATATGTTTCCTGGATATGTGTTTTGCAAATATGTGTTATATCTTGGTGTTCTTTATTGCTTATACTCCTTTGATCAATGCGGCTGTCCATTTTGCAACACCACACTATATTGATTATTGTGTCTTTTTTAAATGCTTACTTCATTTTTTAAAGATTTATTTACTTATTTGAAAGGCAGAGTTACAGAGAGGCAGAGGCAGAGAGAGAGAGGTCTTCCATCTGCTGGTTCACTCCCTAGATGGCCACAATGGCCGGAGCTGTGCTGATCCTAACCCAGGAGCCAGAGTTTCTTCCAGGTCTCCCACGCGAGTACAGGGGCCCAAGCATCTGAGCTATTGCTTTCCCAGGCCATAGCAGAGGGCTGGATTGGAAGTGGAGCAGCCAGGACTCAAACCAGTGCCCATACAGGATGCCTGCACTGCAGGCAGTGACTTTACCCACTATGCCACAGTGCTGGCCCCAATTGTATCTTTTTTTAATATTTGTATTTTTAAAAAGATTTATTTCTTTATTTGAAGTCAGAGATACACAGAGAGAAAAGGAGAGGCAGAGAGAGAGAGAGAGAGAGAGAGAGGTCTTCCATGTGCTGGTTTACTCCCCAACTGGCTGCAATGGCCAGAATTGAGCAGAACCAAAGCCAGGAGCCAGGAGTGGGGGCCCAAAGACTTGGGTCATGTTCCACTGCTTTCCTGGGCCATAGCAGAGAGCTGGATTGGCAGTGAGAGCAGCCGGGACTTGAACCAGTGCCCATATGGGATGCTGGCACTGCAGGCAACAGCTTTACCTGCTATGCCATAGTGTCAGCCCCTCAACTGTATCTTTTTAACTAGTCAAAACCAGGTTGTGTTATTCTCCTACGTTTATTTTCTTTTTAAAAGTATGCACTGTGGCATCTCAGGTAAAAGCATTGCCTGAGGTACTGGCATCCCATATGGGAGCCGGTTCCAGTCTTGGCTGCTCCACTTCAGATGCCTCTCCCTGCTAGTGGCCTGGGAAAGCAGTGGACGATGCGCATGAGCCGGGCACAGGGCCTTCCTTCCTGCAAAGCGCTCCATGCTCTCATACAATCTGAGGCCCAGTGCCTTCCCATGGGCTTGAAGGAAAGTGTCTGTGGTCGGCACTCTATAATTAGAGTAAATTCATGAGAAAGCAACAGGCCAAAAGCTGGCATCTGCTGCCTCCCAAGTCCTTGGGCCCTTGCACCCACATGGGAGACCTGGAAGAAGCTCCTGGCTTCTGGCTTCAGATCAGTGCAGCTCTGGCCTTGTGGCCATCTGGGGAGTGAACCAGGGGATGGATGACCTCTCTCTCTCTCTCTCTCTCTGCCTCTGTGTAACTCTGCCTTTCAAATAAGTAAATAAATCTTAAGAAAAAGTTTGACTATTATAATTCCTTTTTATTCTTATATAAATGTTAACATTGGTTTATCAACATTTACAACTAATCCTTCCAAGATTTCGATAGGGATTGCTTTAAAACTGGAGATCCCTTTGGGGAATTTGAGATCTCT